CGAGGCAGATTTGTGTGCAGACGTGAAAGTTCGCCTGGACGCGTGGGCCCAGGGGCATAAAGTTAGTGACTTGTTTCCTATATCACATTTCACAGCAAGACTTAGTTTTGCTTTTTATTCACTGACGTGAATCAACCGTGTGGCTCATAACCTTATGGAGCGAGAGGGAAATCGATAGCTTGCTAATAACATCATTTGCATATGCTGAGCCACCTGCTCTAGAGTCCTCGCCCCTCACTGTGGATCACTCATCACAACACAGACATGGGGGTCCTATACCAGGGTGCTCAGACGGTTCCTCTAGGGGCTTGGGCTCTGGTCTTTCTACAAAGACCCCAGGATGTTTGCATGTGCTGCCAGGGGTGAAACACTGAGCTACTCTTTTCTTTTTTTTCTTCACCTCCTCAGGAACCCTGCATTGCCTTTTAAGTGAATTATAATTCTAACAGTTATTTGTGTGATTGTTCAAAGAATGGCTGTGAGTAAAGACAGTGGTCAGATCTGCTTTTACTCATGGCTGGAACACAGAAGCTATTCCACGAGGGAAACAAAATGGGATAGGTGGTAAATGGAAAAACAATGTGCCCGGGAGAGGAGTAGATTGGTGGCGTCCTGGTAAACTCTAACAGTGATGGGGTAGTGTTGTGGTGTTTGCTCCCTTCTGTGGCATGAATATTCCCACCGTGGCTGATTTCAAGCTTGCAATGTGACATCACCGAATGTGGAGTTAGGAAGGGATGTGTACAGTGGGTCCTCACAAGCCGGTATGCATGGTTCCATGCACCAGTGCAGGAAGAGACTTTCTTCTGACAATTATCCTTATTTGGAACAGATGCCTGAAGACATCCCCATTGTTTTCAAAGGAGAAGAGACCCTAATCTCCATGAGCATCCACCATGTGGAAGGTCTAAATTAAGTATTTGAACTACACTGGCTCATCTGATCCCCCAAAGAGCCTGCCATTTTGTAGATGAGGAAACGGAGTCTCAGAGAGGTTGAGTAACTTGCTCAGGGTCACACAGTTCATTCGCTGGTGGGGCCAGCTTTCAAACGCTGGTTCTTTTTACTACCGACCCTGATTCCTTCCACTACCCTCATCCCAGTATAATAGCGTTTTAAATCTTTTAACAAATGCTCTGAAAGCTAGCATTCCTGGGGAAGCCCGAGAAGGCACATGGGCCTGGGCATCTGCATATTCCCTGCCCCGGTCCTCAGGCCCCTTGCTTCTGACCATTGTGAAGCCACTGCTACTCATGGATAGTCGCCGGCCAAAGAGCCAGCTGCCTGGCTCTTGCCTCACACCCTGCCCCTCTTGCTCTGAGCCTGGAGGCACTGAGGGTAAGCTGTCAGCTTTGGGTCATAAAATCATTTGAATGAGTGACTCCAGCCCTGGGAAGAAGGAGAGTTAACCCATTTCTCCCCCTAATTTTTCTTAATTTTTACTTCTCGTACATTATATCTTTAGAACCCACAGTGGGCCCACTAACCTCTCAGAGACTTGGGGCAAGCCACTTTCCTTCTTTGGGTCTCAGTTTGCTCCCCTATAAATAGCAGGTAGACCAGATGGAAGGCTCCTGTATTCATCACAGATCCAGGCCAGCTCCCTATGAGGCTGAGTATACAGCAACAGGAGAAAAACAGGAGCTTAATATGTGTTGAAGAAATGTTTTAGATGTGCTCTCCTTTTGACCCCCCCAACGGTTCTACATAGGACAGATCACTGTCGTTATGCCTTTTGTATAACTGGGGAAACCAAAGCCAGGGCATTTCTAGAAGCTGTTGGAGGTCCCCCAGTTGGTAAGAGGTGGAGGCAGGACTTGAATCCAGGCATCTGGATCCAGAGAGAGGCTCTTAACTTGTAGTCCTAGGCATCGGGGAATGGATGGAGGCTTGTATAAAGTGGAACCCATCCTTTTTGATGGAAGATTATGGCGTGCTAGAGGGTCATGTATGTCATAGGTATTCCGCAGATGGACCCAGAGGTGTATTGATAGAGCCCAGATCAAGAAATGAGTCTGACACTCCCGGCTGGGAGTTTACATTTAGAGGGTGTAAGAAATAAGCGATTGTCCCTGTGACTTGGAGGCCTTGGCTGGGGGCGGAGGGGGGTAGCTGGCAAGTCTGCAGATTGGGAAGGGGCATGGCTACTGCCCAGGGTAATGTGAGAATTACCCTGAATGAGCTTCACTAGCAAACGGGTCCCCCTGCTCTCTGTCCTGGGCCCTGTCTCTTTCCTTCACGACACACACCATAACTGATTTGTTTCTTTATGTGTGTCTTACCCACCCCCACCCACCCCAGCTGTAAACTTCCTGAGAACTCGGTGCCTGTCTAGTATATTGCTCAATGAAAAAAAAAAAAAAAAAGTTACCTAGCAGGTGCCTGGCACATAGTTAAGCGTTTGCTTCATTTGGTTGAGTTCCTGAAGGTGTTGTCTGTAAAGTGCCTGGCACAGCCCAGGGAGGCGGCCGGGCTGTGCTTTTCCCCCTTTCTTCTGATGCTCTTGCACCTGCCCCGCCTGCCACACCCCAAGGCCTCCAGCCATGGTCCCTGCTGCCTGGACGGTGCCATGGAGGAAAGTATGACTTTGCAAAGCTGTTTGACAACAGAAGTGAGCCGCTGAAACTTCGAGGCCCCAGGGTTTCTGTCTGTAGCTCAGTTACCGTAATGAAATAAGCCCCCTCCCTTGGTGGTTCTCAGATGGGAGGAAGTGGTTTGGACCCAGGGTACTTATTTCCTTCAGAACGCCTGGGGAGCTGAGAGGGAGGAAGTCGGTCACGTGGTATGGCCTCAATGCATATTTATTAAGGAAAGGGAAGGATGGAGGAATGGATAGTTGTACTCACAGGGCCCTCACTCAGCATGCTGACAAGAACCAAATGGTCTGGCCTGACATGCTGGAAAGGCTTAATGAGAATTTTAAGCTCTAGCCTCTGTCAGAGCTGGGGGAAATAAATTCTTGCTGAATGTCAAATGAAAACTGAAAAAAACCCAGCACCATCTATGAGTGCACGAAGCCGATTAGGGTTTACCACAATGGAGACTTACTAAGTCTTTAAAAAGACACCCTCCCCTTGGAAAGACATTGCCAGCTCCCAAAACTCAAGAGTGGGGGGAATTTTTTTTTTCCATTTTAGGAAAATGAGTTCCATTTGCTGCAATCCAAACCTACCCGTGTCTGTTACAGTTATATCGCATGGAGAAACGAGCAGAAATAAGCATTCAGAAAAATCAGGGAGTGTCCTGCTGCACAGCTGTATGATTTGATTCGCTGTGTATAACGCTGCCCGTTACCCATCTGTTACCTAGAGATGCCCCGGGAACCTGACGTCCTCTCCTTGTCTGGGTTAGGAATGCTATCAACTAGCTGCTGCTGAGAATTCAGCATCTCCTATATATGGTAGTTAATTTAAACTTCTTACAAACATACAAGGTCTTTTTTTTTATGAGGAGGAAAATACGACTCAGAGAGCCAAAGGGGCATGTTCAGAGTCACATAGCTCCTTGGTGGCTGACCCAGAATGTTGACCAGGTATAGCTAATGACATCAATGATTTTCCATGAAGCCGTCTTGCTGCCCTGACTCTAAGATCTGTTTAAGACACAGAAGTCTAAATAGATTTCAGTCTATGTCATAGGTTTTTAATATTTTTCTTATACTTTTCAGGACACATAAACACTCTTGAATGGCATTCTTCGAACTGGAGAAAATCGTTTGCAAAGGATTTTGCCAGAACTTTGATTAAGGCTTACCTCCCCAGATTTATAGGTTTGCGGCTCAGCGTCTCATAGCAAACCACAGAATGACAATTTGCAGACTATGGGATATATTTCTCTGAAAATGAAGAGCACTGCTTTAGTACACACTTTTGCCCTTCATGCACTTGTTGTAGCTGAGACTCTCCCCTCCCCCACCTCAGCCCTCGGAGCCCTTAGAGCCTCTCACCATCTGTATGACTTTACGCAAATTACTCAACCTCTCTGAGCCTCATTTTCTCCTTTGTCAAAAGCACGTAATAATCATAACCTTGTGGTATTGTTCTGAGGACTGCAGGAGAATAACTCTTCACTCAGTGCCCCTCCCCGGCCACTCAGCATGGCAGATACCATCCCTTTGCACATACATGCATGGCCCCAATTTAGGGCACTCTGAGGCCAAAGCCCAGGTCGTTTTCCTCACATTAGGCTCTCTGGATGTGTTGGCACCTAAAAGAATGTGAAGTATGCCACATTCCTTAGGGAATTCTAGCTCTCCAAAATCTCTTCTAATTCTAACCTTCTAGGTTTTCAGAATTTGTATACCTCACCTCTTTGCCTTTCCTTTAATCCTACCCTTCCACCATACACATACCTCCTCCTCTGCTTGGTGTTGCTTATTACTATGGGTTATCATTGGCTTCTTCCCAAAGATCCAAACACCCGAACTCCTGGAAGCACTATTGTGATTGGTCAGCCTACCTGAGCCCCTTGCTCCTTTTAGATGTCATGACTCCCTGTGGATAGCATTTACTGAACAACTACTATGTGTTTGAAACTGGCCTGGCTATTTTGCATATGTTAGCTCATTTCATCTGCCCAGTACTGAACTGGGCACCTTTATTCCCACTTTACAGGGGAGAAAATGCAGGCCTGGAGAGGTTTAAACGTCTTGCCCAAGGACATACAGCTAGGAAGACTGAGAGCAAGCAGGAGTTGCCCTTACTACGAAGCCTGTTATATGCCAGGCTATCGCTCCTTAGCTAGAAAATCTCCTCTGGCAGGAGCGTCCCTGGTCCAAGATCCCCAGCCCGTCTTGCCATATGTAATTCTGCATCAAATATTCACTGAACAGCTACTATGTGCTGGGTGCTGGGTTAGGTGTCGGCCTCACTCGAGATGTTGCCCTGCCTCATCTCTCACAGAGTGCTTTCCTATCCCCAGAAAGTCAATGCTCTGCCAGTTGTGGGTCTAAGAGTCTGAGGTTTCTCCCCGCCCAGCCCCTGCCATGTCCCCTCTGATACCTTCACAAGCTGGGCATGGTCTCCCCTGGGAGTAGCTGCCAAGGGCCTGCCAGGAGCGCCGTCACCGTCTCTCCATCAGCTGCTGTAGCTTCGGCACAGTGAGCAGGTTGCCAGGCCTCCGCGGGTGTAGAGAGACCCAGGCTATCAAGAAGAACAGCAGTTGCTAAACCGGCCACACACTTCCTCTGCTAGAAAGGAGGAAGGCGCGCGGGACTTGCAGAAGGGCAGGTTCCTGTTTTTAGTAACCACTCTGAGCAGGCTTCTCTCTGTAAGGATAGGGAAGACCGTGGCATTATTAATTTTTTTTTTTTTTTTTTTTTTTACAAAGCGCTTGGGAATATGTGCAGCTTGATTCTAAATGCCTGGGCCATGCTCAGGCTTTCAGAGGCTGGGACCTTTTTCTCTAATTTAAAGGCAGGGGAGGCTGAGAGGCTGCTCTCACACATCCTCAGAGTTCACTGGGTCCAAGGAGGCTGGGGCTCAGGCCGGCAGCTTGTCTTTTCTCAGTTTCCTGGTTATGACTGCTTTTTTATGTCCCTGCGAAGGGGCTCTGGGGCAGAGCTTCTGCCTGGGCTCTGCCACAGACAGTGTTTAATTAGCAGAGGTGGGAAATAGTAGGGCATCCAACCCGCTACAGAAAGAAGCTGCCCACCAGCCTTCTGGGGCAAGACAGGCAACCCCTCTGCTGTGCTACAGCCAGAAGAAACTAGGAATATATGAAATGTAGTCAGCTTCCCTGCAGGTTCTAGAGTAAAATTGACTAAGGAAACATGGCGACTGGGTGCAGTGTGTGATGCTTGGCTGGCTCCTGAACTGAGGGAAAAGACTTAGAAAGAACATTCTTGGGATGGAGATAGGCGGGGTATTCACATAGATACCACATTGTAGATAATATTGTGTCAATGTTAACTTTTGGGGCATGATAATGACACCGCAGTTATGTGGGAAAATGTGCTGGTTCTCAAGGAGATACATGCTGATGTATTTGGAGGTCAAATTCCACAATGTCTGCAACTTTCAAATGGTTTGCTAAAAGAAAAAGAACTATAAAATACAAATGTAAATAAATATAAATCAAGAAAAAGACAACGAGGGCGCCTGGGTAGCTCAGTCGGTTAAGCATCTGCCTTCTGCTCAGGTCATGATCCTGGGGTCCTGGGATTGAGTCCCACATCGGGCTCCTTGCTCAGTGGGAGCCTGATTCTCCCTCTCCCTACTGCTCCCCCTGCTTGTACTCTCTCTCTCTATCAAATAAATAAATAAAATCTTAAAAAAAAAAGACAACGAGAGAGGCAGAAAGCAAACGTGGCAAAATGCTAACATTTGCTGAATCCAGGTGAAGGGCATATGTGCCTTGTACTATTTCAACTTTCTGAGGGGTTTAACATTAAAAAAATAATAATATATAGCTCCCCATTCATAGTATGTGTGTCCCCATTCATAATATATGTGTCTTTCCATAGTGTGTGGGAAAGCTCAGGCACATGGGGGCTAAGGGCTTGTTGGTGGCGGGGCTGCTGGTGAATTACCTGCCGGGGCTGGGATGTCCCTCCGAGAGCCCCGGCTGGCCCCCTACTTCACAGAGACGACAGAACAGAGGGTCCAGTGACTATCCCCGAATCCCACAGCCGGTCCCAACGCAGACCCAGGACCAGTGCCCAGGGCTGGTGACGCACTGCCCCAGCCCGGCAGGATCAACACGGTCACCGGGGGACAGTCATTTAGAAACTTCACTCAGTGCACTTGTCAAATCTATCGAAAACATCAGGGCCGCTTCTAAACTTGAAAGGAACTCGGTCCTAGATAGTTGCTTCCTTAGGCAACTTGTGAAAATACCCACTGTCTGCAGAACAGCCCAGGAAGGCACAAAGGGAATGCTGAGAAAGATTCAGATGGGGAAGAACAGAGGGGCAGAAACACACCAGAGTGGAGTTTCCCCCCCATATTCACACAGAGGAGTAAAAGAGGTTTGGGAGGGGGGCTGCTTCCCACAAGTGGCTGGTGGCAGGGCAGGTGGCCTGGCTGTGGAGGTGCCATTAGCTGAGACCCAGCCTGGGACAAGCCAGGGCCAGAGAAGCAGGAAGAACTTGCGGCTTGGCACAGACTTTAGGGGTCCGGAAAGCTCCAAGTCTGATGGCAGAGGCAGGCAACAGACAGACAGGGGACCACAGAGGGGTCTCCATTAGAGAACACAGTCCACGAACAGGAGAAGCTGCTGCAGAAGGAGAAGCTCAGAATTTGGAGCCCCTGGTGGCCGGGATTGCAGTATCTACTCTGCCTGTTTTTAGTGGGTAAATG